ATATTTAATGAGTGACACGCTCCAGGGGATTACCCATTTATTTCCTGGGAAGGAAAACAATAGGGCTTTTTTCCCTTCGGGAAAAAAACCCTATTATTTCCAACTCCCCATGAAATAAATAATACAAATTTTTATGATATAACTAAATCACTATCAGCTTTACATGAATGTAATTTAGTTCATGGTGATTTTCATAGTGGTAATTTACTTTTGTTAACCCATGCTATTGCTTATATAAGTGACTTGGGATTAAGTCGACCAGCAGATAAACCTAATAAATCAAATGAAATTTATGGAATACTTCCTTATATTGCACCCGAAGTATTACGTGGTAAACCATATACTAAAGCTTCTGATATATATTCTTTCGGTATTATAATGTGGGAAATGATATCTGGTGTTCCTGCATTTAATGATGTACCTCATGATTTTAATCTTTCCTTAGCTATTTGCAAAGGATTAAGACCAAGAGTTATTGATGACACAGAACCTGAATATGTAGAATTAATGAAAAGATGTTGGGATTCTGACCCTAGTAAAAGGCCGACAGCCAAAGAGTTGTTTGAATATTTTAGGAATTGGCGGAAAACGTATAAATTTAATAATAATAGAGTACCTGTACCAGGTAAAATATGCGCGTTTGAATGATGTGTTTTATTATTTTAACGCAATTTATTAATAAATAATGGCCTTTTTTTTTTGTAGAAAATAAACTTTCCGTTATAAACTATTCAAGAACTTTATATACAAGCAGAAAAATCAATTATTCTGCGAAGTTAAATGAAATCTTGAGTCAAGAATTAAGTTCAAGAATTATAATGTATAGTTATAATGATGATTATAGCGATGAAAATAATTCCGATAATTATGAAGATCTAGGTAAATTTTTACATTTTATTTTTTCTATCTTTCTCTCTTTTTTTTTTTAGCTATTAAATATTAACTAATGGTGATTTATTTTAATAATATTCTAGATAGTTGTTTAATAGGTAATTATAATTCATTCTCTTTTTACTTATTAAATTTTTTCATTTTTTACAGCGTTTAAACTATTATTATTTTTTTTAATAGATCCTATATATGAATTTAGAGGATTTATAATTTAAAATTTGGATTCAAACATTTAAATGTTAGTAGTTACGAATTTTAAATTTTAAAACGATTGTTTTATTGTTTTTGTATGACTTGAACGATATCAAAAACTGTTTCTTGCAAATTAAATTTGGGTGTTATCATTTTATCAATCTATTGTATTGTGCTTGTATAAAGTCACTTAATTACAATGAATGTTTTAATTTCAATTTTATTTTTTATTTTTACTCTTATTTTTTATTTACATAAATAAAATCTCTGGAAAATTTTAATTAGAATATGTAAAGCCACACAAGCCATACATTATAATCAAGTATTAAAAGACAAATATTTGCAAATAAATAAATAGCACAAAATGTTGTGCATTACGCCACAATAGGATCGTTGCCATAATTCAATCCTTATATCGGGCGTGTGTAACATAAACTTCAAAAACTATTAATACTGCGAATTTCAGAATCTTACGATTAGATAATAAGTATTTTTTTTTTTTTTTTTTTTTTTTTTTTTTTTTGAATTGAATTGATCAAAAATTCTTCATTTTGGTATACCAATTTATTATACAATTTTTTCATATTATTTTTTTCAACCATTTCGAATGAAATAGGTCATATAACGTGAACCCCCACTAGAGGATATTTAAAACTTATTTTCGTATTAAGTACTATTCCAGAACTTAGAGTTATTTTTCGCTAGCGTCACTTCTTTTATATATACGGTACACAATCTTATTTGACCGCCTCGTGTTCAGTTTGAACGTTATTTTCAAATGAAATAATAAAGTTACTGTATCTATTGAGTTAATTACGTTTATGAATACGTAAAAGGTTAAGTTAAACTTAATAGAACTCTATCCCCAAAGATTTTATTTGAATATTTAACAAACTTTCTAAATGATTTAGTACAATAATACCACGATAACTTATAACGTGAATTCCAGAAATCTTTTTTATTAATCCATTTAAGAATTATTTTTACGAAATTTTTTTTTCTATTATGGTAATAATATTTTTGGCGTAGTACCTTTATTATAAAATTCTTCAATTTATTTATAAATTTGATAGGAAAAATATCCTTACAATTAAAATCATCAGGAGCAATTTCCGTAAATCGAATGAGAGGAATAAATTGATTCAATATCTTATTTAACGCTTCAAAATCCTCATTATTCCATTTGTTTATATATATTATTTTTAAATAAATTAAATAATTTATTAATAAATACCAGATACTCTAATAGTATATAATTCAATCAAAATAACTTTATCATAAAATCACCAAATCACATTTGGCTTATTGAACATAATAATGTCATTCTTTTTTGTAGCTCAACAAGATAAAAGAGCACCTTTAAAATAAGGAGAACGAGTGCGTAAAATTACTGAATGTGCATGAAATATTTTTGTATTTTCGTTTTCACCAATTGAATAATAATATCATAATCATTATCATTTGTGTCAAGATTAGTTTAACGCTCGATAATTTAGCAACTGCTTTTGTAACTACTTTATAAATAAGCTAGCTATATATTCCCATGCGATATTTTTCAGGATAAAAGCTCGTGATTAATAGAAATCTTAACTTTCGCATGCATTGACTGAATTAATACCAATTTCGATCAATGATTTTTTACACAAATTATCCTCGAAAAAAGTCATATAAATCATATAATGATAATTACCGTAAATGAATTTTTTAAATTATATGAAAAAATCTTAATAGTATAATAAATTATTATCAATTTTATTTGTGTCTAAATTGAAACGTCAGGAGTCATATCGGCTGATCAGAAAAGCCTCCCATAATTTTATATGCTAAATGACAATAAGTAACCCATCAGTTATATAATGAACCCATCAACTGAGCTTAAATATTAATTGGCTTGATTTTTCCAATCAGCCGATATGTATATCCACGCACTATGAAAAAATGATCTATAACGTGAATTTCTCACGTCGTACAATGAAATCTTCAAATTTTAGTTTTAACTTTTTTCATTCCGGACTAACAACGGTTTCCGATTCCCAGTCTAATAATAAAATCATTGACTATTATTATAAACACGTAAAAGATTATCTTTACTCGAATAAAAATATATCCGTAAAAGATATTGTTTTATAGTCTATATAGAATATGTGTTATGAAGTTCTATAGCGTATGAACTTAAATTTTCGTTTTGTTCATTACCAAATTGAAAAGAAGACATAGGAATATTGCGGATCACCGTAACATACAATATGAAGAGTCCAGTACAATTTCAGATGAAGCTGCCAAAAAATTAGTCTTTTGGAGGTGAAAGTGAAAGTGTTTTTAGATCAGTTGAAGAATAAAGGTCTAGATCTTGAGTTAACGGAAATAGAGGAAGTCGTGGAGATAGATTGTACCACGAATCAGACGCATCCGAGTATCGTATTTTGAATAAAAAAATAGATCGAGCTGAAACTTTATACTAAAAAAACAATGGCAAGTTATGTTTACGAGCGTGAGGAATTGAAGAAAATACGTCCGATTGGAAGTTCACGTAACATTTTGAACATGGTGATTAAAAAGAAACCAAATGACGCCTCTCCGAGCGTCATTAAAAAGAGAATTAGGACCGCAAAAAACATATACGAAATTTTTTCTGCCATTGGTTATGAAAAAATACGCTTGACTACATTTACCGCCTCATCCATCAAAACATTTACAGATGACAATATTAAATATATTAAAGGTGAAAAAACTAACAAGGACAGTAGTAGCGTCTAGATGGGATAAGTGCATGCGATTAATGAAACTTCTAGGGTAAGAATCCAATATCACGTGCTTTTTAGTCCAATATGGTCATGCGATATCGATACCCGAAGGTCTCATGTAGCCATGTTGAATTAATCTATTTGATTATATCAACTTGACTAACTGAATAACATGTTTATTAATAATCATAGGAAGATTCTAAGATTCTAAAATGCCAATGTGTTATTGAAGGATCTCGGAGTTTTAAAGACCATTTACTGTACAAAGAGCTGAAAAACGAAAGGAAGAAAAAAAACGAAAAAATAAAAAAGAAAAAAAATGACGATTTGGTGAGAAATATTTTATTTATTCATTAATGATTTTTTTTTTTTTGAATAAATATTAATTAAATATTACTACATTAGAATGATAAGAAAGGGCGCTCTCTCTTAAGAAGAGGGAGGATTTGAAGGAACAAGAAATTTGCTTAAAGGATGAGAGAGGCAAAACTTCGCAATGAATCATAATTGAAACTTCATTTAAAAACTCTCATTATGATTCGATTAATTGCATGTTAAATTCATTAATATAAATACTTTCTCTTTCGATCTTATTAATAAAATTTGTTTATTCTGTTAAATAAATTTGAATTACATGAAAATTTTTCGAATAAATAATAAAATTATTGTTTAGTTATAATAAATGTTTCGATTTCTTCAATATTATAAATTTCATATGTAGTTAAATTATTTTCATAATTAAAATCAAGATTATGAGCTCTTAAACATTGACAATTATCTATAAACAATGAATTATAACCAAAATCAAATCCAACGTTAGGATGATCATATATAGCCTTATCATAATTTATCACACGACTTATTCTCATATTTTGAGTATCTTCATCATTTTCAAATGAAAAAATAAAATTATTAGATGAATAATAAAATCGTTGACTACCATTATAAATACTTAAAAGATTATCTCCAATTGAGTTAAACCCAATAGAACTATATCCACCAAAAATTCTATTTGTTTGTTTAACTTTAATTAAAACTAAACTTTCTATTTGTCCTTTACATTTATTTTTAAATGATTCAGTACAAATACCATCAATACTACCACGATAAATAAGATCAAACTTATAACGTGAAGTCCAATAATCTTCTTTATTAATCCATTTAAGAATTATTTTTACGAGATTTTGTTTGATAATTTTTGAATCAATTTTTCCTGTTCTAGGTGGTAATGCTGGTAATGTTGTTATTTTTGGGAAGGTACCTTTATTATAAAATTCTTCAATTTCTTTATAAATTTTATTAGGAATAATATCCTTATATGGTCTGATTTTATAATTAAAATTATTAGGAACAATTTCCATAAATCGAATTAGAGGAATAAATGGATTCAATGTATTATTTAACGCTTCATAATCCTCATTATTCCATTCATTTCTGTCATAGTTTTCACTTCCTAAACCAGGAGTTTGTTCAATACCCCATTTAATTAAACAATCCCAGATTTCTGATTCATCAATCTGCAAGTCATCTCGTTCAAGTAAACGATAGAGAACACTTTTATCTAATGAGAGGAAGTCTTTTGAAGTAAAAAATGGTTTTGGATTTTCACAAATAGACTCGAGACAAAATTTTTGTAGCTTATCGCAGTCGTAATCCGAAAGTTTAAACACAATATGAAAGAAGAGATTAAAATTTTCCTGAATCCAAGTTATATGATTTTTTAATAAATATTCTTGAATAGGTTCAAATAATTCTTCAAGAAGTAATTCATCAGAAGCAATTAGAAGCTCAAGTAAATCTTTTCCTAGATATTTTTCCAAGTCAAGTTCACCCGTGTAAATATATCTAAAAAATAAATTGTATATTAATATTGAACCTATAAAAACTGACCGAAAATATTATAATTAAACAATAAAATTAATATCTTACCTTAGAATTATATCAAAAACAGTTGAATTAATATTTGGTTTATTAAAAATAATCATATTATTCTTTTTTGTAATCCATTCAGATGAAAGTGCACTTTTAAAATATCGAGAACGAGCACGTAAAATTACCGAATGTGCTCTAAATTCTTTTATATTGTTATTTTTATCGACTTGAATAATAACATTATAATCATCTGCATCATTTAATATTGAAGAAAAATCTTTTGAAAGACCGGAATGAAATATTGAAGTCATTATTAAAAAATGAATGAAAAAAAAAAATTAAAAATGAATAAGTGATAAGGTTGAACATTTATATTATTATTTGTATGATAGCAGTAGCACAAACCCAGCCGTCACCTAGTGGTCAATTTTCATTAATGCTCTCTGATTTTTCTATGCATAATGTCTAAAAATTATGAATACTGATTTAAAGAACGAAAAATGCTATACTTTGATATCATTTTTCTTTAAATTTAACGGATTTACTTATCATTTGTTAATGATTTAAACACGCCGAGAGATTTATTATGACGAAATTGATGATCATATCCTGAAATGCTTTAGATTCTTGACTATCATATCTTGAAATGAAAAACTGGGATTATCCCCTGATCGACACCATTTACACGTTTATGCAAATATAGTTATACCTACTGGGTAGCAAATTTTATATGTATTTATTTATCCGTTCCTAGGAGATTTTGCACTAAAATTAGCTACTATTTTATACTATTGATTATACTATTGATTATACTATTATTTATGCTACAATAACAAGTTATTTATTAAAATAACAAATTATAATAAAAATTATTCTTTTGTAATATTAATGGTAATATTAGCACATTTAATGAATTTAAGCTTAAAATTTTCAGCCAATTCTAAGTTTTTATCTTTACGTTTCAGAGGAATTGAAATATTTTGAATTTCAGAGAGTGTTTTTCTTGAAGATGAGTGAAATTCATTATTAGAGTCAACTTTATTTATATTTTCTTCATCACTGTCTTCGTGCACATACCCTGCAATATTGTCGCTAACCTTTTCTGTATCCTATTAATATAATAAATATTATGTAAATTAAAAAAGAAATTATAAATATATTAGAAAAAGAAAAATACCTTGTGTACGCCTGGAAGTGTTAGTTTCGCAACTTCTAATTTTTGAATTTCATTTTGTGAACAATACCTAAAAATACAGTGTGATTATAAATAAAAAATTATTATGAATTGGAAAAATAAGATACTTACGAATTTAACCCTGCTAAAGATTTATGCAATGTTACATTCATAATAGCCTGATGATCCAACCCTTCATCATTTAATTTTTGGGCAGTACGTTTTCGTAAGGAATGATTTACGACTCTTCTATTTGTACAATCAATACTAGTAATGGTGCAAATTTCTTTTAGCATTCTGGATAGTTTATCTCGACCCATATGCTGTGAAGAATACCACTTTCCCAGTTTAATATCTAATAGTATAGATTAATAAGCAATTAAAAATTAATTACATTAATAACATATCTCAATAAAAATAATATTACCTTCAGGATCTTTATTAACATGAAGGAAAAAATTTTTTTCAGCATTTTTTGGTCGTAAATTAAGATATTTTTTAATATCATAACATGCGCCACATTCTTTAGATTCATCTGGAGGAATAATATGTGTAGGTGTTTGATTAGAGGTTGGTCGATGATAATAGCCCCCCTGATGGGTTTTATCATGAATTGTAATAATATCAAAGCCTCCATCATCACGTTCCTTAAAATGTTCAGCCATAAGATTATAATACGACCCTCCTCTTTGCGTTGTACAACATCCTACCCATAGAAAAACTCTTTTAAGTAATCCATCTGGCGTTTCATTTGACATGTTAGGATGCTCAAAGATCTTGACCATTTCATCATCTGTAAGAGCATCAGCACCATTATATTTACCATTGTTAATATCTTCAAGCTCAATAATTCTAGTATGTAATGTATCACGAACTGCCCCAAATTCAAAGTCTTCATGTATGTTAAATGGCTCTTTATCTTTAAACAATTCTTGGTAACATCTATTTATGGCACAAATTCCATTGTATAGAGAATTTGCTTTATAATCCTTTTTTTCTCTTGTTTTAATAATTACAATAAATTCGCATAACAACATTGCAATAACCTTCTTATCATAAAGAGTTAATAAATCAATATCTGGTTGTGTGTCATTCACAAATTCCTCAAATCTAGAGAACCATAATCTAGTATTTTTCTTGGTATTTTCAGGTTTTGCTTTAGTGACATATCTTTGTAGAGTTTTTAAAGAAGGACGTTCATATGATTCTTTGGGAATAGATGGCTTTGAAATTTCGTGTATATTAGAAATATTTACATTTTGCAAATGAGTAAAATTTTCTTTTAATTTATCTGTAACGTCAATATTATTTTTTGAGTGTAATAGTTCTGAAGCTTTTTTAAAATTTTGACTCATTTTTTAAAATGAAAAAATAGAAAATAGCGGGTGAAAGAAATTAGGATGCAACAATAAACTATATTTTATAATTACTGATTAACACGTGATATACTACAATAAAACAAATTTTTAATATTGTGTAAATGGCAGGGGATAAATCAATTATATCCTGGCTAATTGGAATAGTAAAATTTTACTTTAGAATCGGAACATGATCAGCCTATCGGCTGATCATTTATCCGATCCTAGTAAAATTTTACTTATTCCTAATTAGCCAGGATATAACTAATACTTATATTTCACATTTAATCACATTTAATCAAACCGACCATAATTCCCAATTCGGATGAAGAAATCCCGACTATGAAAAATAATTTAATATACCAAAAATATAAATTATACTTTAAAATTTTAAATAGCCAATTTCTATTTTTACAAGGTTGTTCAAAACACGAGTTTCCAAAAAGGTAAATTTTTGCATCGATCACCGATCACTTAATGTTGACCGGAATTAAATTTAACGAAAAAAAAAAAATAAGAAAAATGTCAGAGATGGTTTTGAATATCATTTTGACTTATTTAATAAATCTTTTTTAAAGTAAACTTGCGTAACAGGCCAAAATACACTTAATTTACCTTTTTTTTTTATTAAATTTTTTTTTTCATTATTTTTTTGTTATAAGGTCACGTGATGTGTGTATGATTAACCTTTTTTGCGATTACAATTCCACAATCGAAATAGGGTAAAGATGGTCATCGGTCCTAGAAGACCGCGGTCCTACGGTCCTAAACCATAAAAAGACGGACCGGTCCGTCTTAGTGTAGGACCGCGGTCTTTCGGTCCTGTATCACATATAATAAGACCGTCGGTCTTTTTAAGGACCGCAGTCTTTTTAAGACCGATCGGTCTTTTTTCTTTTTTTTGCAAATAAAAAAAGATTTTCTTCCCTAACTTTATTAGGAATAGCCTTGTTTTATAAATGAACACTAATTGGAATGATTTTTAATATAAATTTTTTTTTTACAAATCACCTGGATATCATCACAACGTCATGCAAAATTTAAAGCTTTGAGAAAAAATACTTCAAAACGCAATATCTCGCTATCCAGTGATTATAAAAGGATGATTTTACCACCATTCGAATCGTCTCGCTGCGGCGCGTCGAATGGTATCAAAATCATGATTTTAGAATCGATAAGAAAAAATTACGTCGGCAAAACTATTTGATAATAAATTCAATAATTACCGATTATCTATCGATCCTAGAAACATGATTTAGTCACCATTCGACGCGTCTCGCTGAGACGATTCGAATAGTGGTAGTTTCATCCTTTTATGATCACTGGATGACGAGATATTCCGCTTAAAGGCTTTTTTGGAGTTTCGGAGTTTCAGCGTTTTGACAAGCAACTCTACAAGTGGGAAGAGTGATTGTCATTATTTATTAGTTTGGAAATGGCCGGTCTTTATATTATTTTATGAAGACCTTTGTCAGATTAATAGGTTTATTCAATATAAAAATCATTTATTATATGAAGACCGGTATGAGGACTGGTCAGTCCACAGGACC